TTAATTGCCTTGTTTCCTACATCTTGCAAAGCAAATGCCTTTTAGCTACTATCAGCCACTTCAACTGCAGAAGAGCAGGAAGGAAGAACAGATTCTGTATCACAACTACTCCAAGAGAAAGCAGTTTAAGGCCCACTTCCTTCCACAGCCTGTTCCCTTTCATGAAGTACAAATTTCTGTTCCCTCAGATAACAATGCAAAATTTGTGAAGCTGTGTTATAAACTAGATCAGTGGAACAATCCAAATTACACTTAAAGTAAGTTCACTTGCTTAAAAAAATACACCCAAAACCCCAAAAACCTGTATATACTTCAAACAGATTTATAGCACAGTTTAACAGTTACAGTGACATAGGAGAAATTAACTCCAACAGTTATCTTCTGCACATCCAGTTTTATAATGGACAAATGTTGTGAGATAGCAAAAAATACCACTGATGAAGAATGAAAAGAAAGGGAAGAAAGTATTGCCACTCAACTGCAAATTCCATTTATCTTTAAAGAAAATAAAGATTTGAAAGAAATTTTATTATTCTATCAACTCAGAGCTTAAGCACTATTTGTTCAAAAGATCCAAACATTCAGGAAGATAAGATTATTTTCAAAAATGGCACAACAAAAAAACCACTGTACCAAAAAGGAGTAGAAACTTTTAAAGCTCTGTTGCACAGAAAATCCATGATGAAAGAAATGCACCTAGACAGAAGCACCCATCTTGAGAAGCTCATGATAAAGATATGGCAAAGGAGGACAGTGGGCTGAAACTACATGAAGGTATTGACAACCAACAGCACTGCAAGACCAGAGATACACAGAGGTAGGTTTTTTCTCCTGTCCTTTACAAGGCTTCCATGTCATATAGGTCAGCACACTTTCCCCAAACAACTACAGTTCAAAGATGTGTTAGGAGGATCTGGTTGTGATAATTAATGAAGACTGCTCTAAGACAACAACTGTAAGATGTAGCTGACATTGCCTAAGGTTTTTCCAAAAGGTCAAGCTTCAAGATGGTGAGAGCCAAGACACAGAAATCACAGAAAAATACAGTTTGAATCCACCTAAATAATTATAGAATAGCATGAGGCCCTAAAGAAACAAAGAGGATGACACAGTTGTAACACTAAAAAGGAACAGGTAAACAAGAACAGTGGTTATGACAATAAAGAACAAGTTCAGATCAGAGAAGATATTATACCAGGGAAAGTGAAAGAACTTCATGAGAGCATGGAATAAGACCAAAACGGGGGGGGGGGGGGGGACCACTAGAAAGAAGTATTCCAGATTCAAGTGTCTCAACAGGTAAAAGAGTAGTGGAACAACAGGCAAGAATGAGCACACCTAGAAGAAAGTCTGGTATGGCTGTATTGTTAACATCACTCATAACAGTTCAAGTTGAAAAATATGGTAGAATAGTAGGTAAGTTAACAAAAGCGGGGAAAAGACTGGAAATACAAGCACGGACAGTTTTAGAAGAGAAGAAATAATAAGGAGAGATTAAAAGACAGTGAAGAACCACAAGAGTACTGTATTACAGAGCCCAGGGAGAATAAGACATCAAGTGTTTTTTCAAGGATTGCAGATAGTATCAAAAGCAGCAAAGATCAAGGAGGGTAAGAAAGGAGGGGAATCCTTGCAACTTGGCCAGAAGGAACCTGTAGGTATCTTAATGAAGGCAATTTAAGCAGAGCACAGAACTTGGACTGGAATGAATTTCATACGAAGAAAGAGGAGAGAATGTATGAAAAGAAATGTAAACTGTTCTCTTCAGCTTGGAAAAGAAGGGAAGCAGACCACAGTTGACTGTCATCAGTTATTTAAGGATAGAGGATAGTAATTCAGAATAAAATTCAAAAGAGAATAAGATGGCAGCAAGAGGTAAAAACATGGAAATGTTGAATTAAACCAGAAAAAAATCATGAATGGGGCTTAAGGGTGAGGCTAAGCAGCTACAGGCAGCAAAAGTAGACAGAAAACACAAGAATCCATCACTGTAAGTAGCAGTCAAGAATGCTGACCAAAGGTAAACATGGAAATTCTAATCAGTTTTTCTCTGGAAACCTTTAGATTCTGCAAGGGAAGAGATACAGGACAAAACCTAAGGCAGAGCTCCAGATTTGCCTGAAAAACTAAGGAACCAGGAAATACATTCGGGGAGGGGGGTGGGGGTGGGGGAAAATAATTGAGTATGAAGTAAGAGTTAGGAATAAGATGTCAAAGAATTCTGCCTGGTTCAACAACCAATCACAGGTAGGTGAATTAGCATAAATAAGATGAAGAGGTGGCAGTCATGAGAAACGGACTTGGAGAAGCCTGGATGACTGGCAAAATCAAACCAGAAGTAAAAATTTCTCTCAGAAACAGAAATGGAGATTAGCAGATGATGATCAAATAGGCTAGATAGCTGAAGAATAAACTTAATGAGAAATCAACTTGAAAAACAAAGTCCTAAGGAAAGAGGGTGAAGCGTTCATGGTAAGAGGAGAAACTACGTCAAAGTCAAAGATGAAGCTACACAGGGAGAAGAAAGAACTAAGTGAGGCAACATGAAGGAATGTCTGATGGGTCCCTGCTTAAGGAAAACTTAAGAGAAAATAATGGAGGGGGAAGTATAAAGACAGTAGTTTATGAGGAACACATTTATTGTTAATGATAAAAGGGAAGATATGACAGACATTGACCTCTAATGTAATACTCTGTTGTTGGTAGCAAGGTTTCTGCAATCAATGTACCAGACAAAACTGTTGCTGATAAAATATTCAGCAACTAGCTTTTGATTTGGGTTTCATGGGGTGACACACAATTGCTCATGACTAAGAAACTAAATAATCATTCTTTATACTTCAGTTACTTATACAGGATACAAAGCTTGATTACTGTACCATATCTTGCCACGCACAAAGAAAGCAAATGAAGGTACAGTAGCTTATATTAACATCACGCACCCTTGACAGTGGAACACAAATTTGCTGAAAAACAAAATCAGTTAGTTGAAACCTATTAACAGGCCAGATATTTAAACCATCCGATCCTCCTCTTCTTTTGGTCTAATGTTACCCACAAATAAGCCTGCATTTTCATTGAAGAAAAGAACGTAACAGCAAGCAGCAATTCAAATTCATAAAGAAGAGCTAGAAAGGGCCTATTAAAAGCAATTTGGATAGGAATCACAGCAAATAAAGTTGCACGAGACTTCAAAACATCAACTTCATTCTCAGTCTCCATGTCTGTATTAGCTTTCCTTAAGCCACTCCTGTCTGATGTTCAGCTAACATTTTTTGTTAGCAAACCTCTAACAATACAAACTCTATAATCTCCCCTGGCACTCTACTACAGTGACCACACAATTTTAAAACCTTTCCCTAACATTTGCATATATCTCTCTCTCTGAAATTCAAACCATTTCCTCATGCACCATAAAGCTGATTGCCTTCCTCCTTAGAGCAAATTTGCTGTACAGAAAGGATGTTTCCCATCGCAACTGGACAGCTCTCTCTCTGCAGTGTTTTGCACTGGAAGGACACAGCCCTTATTAAAAAACAAAACAAAACCAAAAACCCTCTGCCTGAACAGATGAGCTACAAAAACCCATCTCTGTGATGAGTCATCTATGACAGCAGAGATGGACTTTCCCACATAAGCAGTCTGCTGGAAGCTGGATTCAGTCACCACAAGCAACACAGCCAAAGGAAACTAACATTTACAAGCAAGCAAAGCACAGGTGTAACGTTAGTCACGATCACTCGTTCTACAGCCTTCAGAAAGGAGCCGAGCAAAAAAAAGTATAGCTCTGGTCGTGTTGTTCAAAGCGAAAGTTAAATGGGAAGCAGAGCAGTAAACCGAAGGGGTGGGTGGAGTTCTCGATTGTGCCTTGCTTAGCAGCACCACTCTGGGGTAAAAAAAACGGAGTCAGTAAGGGCAAAGCAGAGCAAGGTGGGGGGAGAGGGATGAAATAAAAACCGAGCTCGGAAATAAGAGGTGTGCATGGGAACAGTCACACACAGGGAAAACGATGCAGGAAGGCATCCTGAACCCTTGGCCACGGAGTGGGGAAGGGGGCTGGAATGAGGACTGTCTCCCTTCCCAGAGGCAGTGGACATGGGAGAGGCCCTTAACACGGCAAGTTTCCTCCCATGAGATGGCTCCTCTCTTTGGGGTGGGGCAGTAGGGACCCCAAAGGAAAAGCTGCAGGGAAGGGGAGGGAGTGCAGAGAGGCATGGGGGAAGGAGGAAGTGCAGAGCCGGAGGACAGGGTTGTGAGGCAATATGGGGATGGCACGGTAGAGCTGTGACAGGGAACTGGAGCAGAGTATGGCAAAGATTGCACAGCCATAGCAGGGCTGAGGGAAGAAGGGGCAAGATAATGCTGGTCCCCACGGGAAGCAGAGCGCCGAACAGTGTGCAGAGCAATGCAGAGGATGAAAGTGCAGAGCATGGTGGGAGCAAGGCTATGGAGAGTGAAGAAGGGGTTGCACAGCCATAAAGAGGAAGAGCAGTACTAAACTGGGCAGCGAAATTCTTCAGTTATGTGCATCAAGGCTTGGGAGTGTGCGTGTAAAGGGACTCACAGCCATGAGAATGCAGCACGAGGGAGAGGAGAGAAGGGGGTTCACAGGTATGGGAGAGTATAGTTACAGGTGATGCAAGCGATCATGCAGCCATGTGAGAGCAGTGCTACAGGTGTAGCAAGGGGAAGCACGGCAACAGGACAGCGGGGCTACAGTGGTGGGAAGGAGCAAAGTACTGCACAGCCATGGGAGAGCCGGGCTACAAGGCGCAAAGGGGGATGTACGGCCACCAGAGAGCACGGCTATGGGGGAACAAGCGGGTGCACAGCCACGGGACAACACGAGAGGCAGACCTGGAGACTAGGAGAGGAGGGGCAGAGCCGTGGGGGACAGTAGGCCTGCAGGCGGGTGTAACAGAGCCCGGCAGCTGGGGGCCGCAGGGGAGGGGAGGGGAAGGGTAGACAGCAGGGCGCGGCGGTGAGCGCGGGCCGCTCACCTGCGCGGCGGAGCTGCAGCAGCTCATGGCGTCCGCGAGTCTCTGCCCTGACGGTGCCCCGCTAGGCGCCAGGCGGCAGCGGGCAAGCGCTGGGCATCCACTCGCCGCGACGGCACGCCCCGGG